CTCTCCAGGAGCAGGAGACGCCAATAAGGAGACTGTGTAAGTGCTGGGCAGGTGGGCAGGAGTTCAGGTGAAAGTGAGATTTGGAGTGTGTGTGTGTGTGTGTGTGTGTTTTGTGTGTGTGTGTGTTCCTTTTTGTTAGTGGTTTTTAAAAAATGAAGCCACGTTCAACTTTTCACATGTCACACGTGACATGAAATCATGGATTTTAAAAATATCAGGAATCTATTTTATCTCTTTGACAGCTGTCTTTGGTTTCTGTCAGATAATGATCTCTAATTTATTTTAAGCTATTCTCTGGAATGGATGGCTTTACATTAGGTGGCTTCAGCTGTGGCCTCTCTTGCCCCCTGAGGTGTCTCCTCATTCTCAGTTCAGTCATGCCCGGGCCATGCCATAGCCACACATGTGTATTCAGTTTCAAGGTTTGCAACAGTTGTATGCAATACAATTAAATCTAATGAAATATACTTTATGAGTAGTAACAATGAAACATTTCTTTGCATTGCTTCTAGATGAAACCCAAACTATCACTAAAGATGCTTTACTCTTGAGGAAAGGTGTCGGATTCTGATTCCTGAGTTCTGATTACTGTTACTATACTGTACTACTACAATTCTTTTGCCAAAGTACATTAACTGAACTCTGTTTTTTTGTGGGACAATTCAAAGAATTCCCAAATATTTTCAATGTTAGCTTTCAAGTAGGAATGTGTATCAAGACAGTTCTCTTCAGCGTTTTCTCTAAGGATCGTCATCTGTAGGCTGCCTGTGAGCTCAGGGTCTGGTTGCACATTTCCAATATCATGAGATCCTATTTGTATCCAGCCTCACTGAAAAGCACGTTTACATTTGGTTTCCCATCTGGAACTCACTGACCATCACTCTGTCATCCCACACAGCAGTACTCAGCCATAGCCTCAGGCTGGTCTGCTGAAGCGACTTTGCCTGTAAAGTAGAATCCTGAATGCCTACCCGGTTACAGGAGGGTTTTCTGCTTGTATCATAAACCAGTGTCCTGAGACTGACCAGGCTTCTGCTGGTACTAGCATGGAAAGGAAGCATCAGTGACTAAGAGAGCAGCAGCTGCAGATGAGAGCGAGCATCCTTCCTGCAGACAGGGGCAATGAAGGACCCAGGGTGCCTGCAGTCTGGGGTGAACTCTGAAATGAAAACAAACACCTTAGGAATGAGAAAGGACACAAGGTCATTTCAAAATAGGTCTCTGAAATCTCCGTTAACCTAGGCAAGAAAAAAGAAGAAAGTTGTCCAGGCCACTCTGTGGACTTTCCATGGATCCTCAGGATGCATAGATGATGCTGGACTCTACTCTGCCTTTATCTCCTGTTCAGTCTGTTGTGTAATTGCCTTCTGTATCATGCAAACATGAGTCATTGACACACATGAGCAGCATCGACTGTTTCTATATGGCCAATCTAGGGTGCAGATCCTATCAGGGAAGATTGAGTTCTGAATTTGCCTTCTAGGAGGAAGCACCTGCTGTAACCTCTAACCCAGGCCCGGGAGCGCAGCCCAAGCCATCAACTGGGAGCCTTGTCAGTTACTCTCCTTGTCAACCTCTGAGAACCACAGCGCCCCCTACTGTGCAGTGACAACAACTTTACTTACTTCTCTATGTTAAATGTCTTCTCTAATATCTGAATGCTTTTTTCACTGTCTTCTGTTATTGCGCCCCACAGAATTTCACTGTGCTCCATAATTTATATTTGCTTAGCTTTTAAGATTTCTATTTCTCCTTTTCTATTTGCCTCAAGAATATCTGAAATTGGCAATGAACAGAAATTGATTGTCCATTTAAAAATTCACCACATAATTTTAGAGATGCTTCATCTAAGAATTTCATTTTAATTTTATTTATTATATATTTAGCTCTATAAATTATATTTCTTTTTTGTTTATAGCTTTTGTTTTCTGAAGTTTGTTCTTTTCCCATTTGCTTCAATAATATATGAAATTTCTCATTGATAGAATTCAATGTGACTTTATAATAAATCAGACATGGGATTCCAGGAGAACATGGCGGACAGACAACAGCAACTACCGGAGGCTCTCTGAAAGGCTCCGCTCAGAGGCCAGGAATGATGCGGACTAAGGAGACATGAACCGGTAGAGATGTGCTCTGCTGACTCAGGAACGAACTGGGCTGAGAGAAACCAACTTAGAATACAGCCCTGGCGCTAAAATAGGAACAGAAAAGACTCTAAGGTGTGGAGAAAAAAACCCTAAGGTGTGGAGGCTTGACCCCGCGCCATTAGAAACCGCGATTTGGGTTTCTCGCCGCCCGGCGGCTGGCTGCCTCCACAGCGGCTCGGCAAGGAGAGACGCGCAGAGCTCTGGGAACGGGAGTCTGCGAACGGAGTCGAAAACAGGACGGACAAGGAGGCGTACACGAAAACTGACTGGTGGCGAGGTGAGTGAGAAAAACTGACCCCCTACCACAGTTTGACTCCAGCGGAGGACTTTCTGGGCTCGGGCAGTCCTGTAAGAGCAGGGCTCGGTGGCGACTCCAGCCACACATTCCCCTCTCGGACGGGATTGGTGAAAAGTGCCTGGCCTGCGTGACGCTGCGAGCGGACTTGGTAGGCTGGCCTAACCCAGATCCCAGAGCATGACGGTGGCCCGGAGGGGCGACTGACTCCCACGTAGGCTGCCTCCTCCGCAACTCCCTGCTGCGCAGTGGTGGGCGGGAACATCTAGCCAGCGCAATTTGATCAGGCTGTGGCTGACAGGCAGGGAAGCTGGGCCTCCTATGTAAGCTTGCATTTTATAAGGAACAGAAAATATGGGGAAGGGAAGCAACAAGAAAGGCTCCTCGGCCCCCAATTCTGAGAAACAGGCAATAGTGGACACCGCACCAATATACATTAAGCACCATATAGAGAGCCTCATAGACCAATTCAGGAATGAAGTTATCAACGACCTGAAGCTAGAAGTATGCAGAATAGTTAGAGAAATGCTAAGCACCACCCAGGAAAAAACAGATGGTGGAATGGAAGAACAGGAAAAGAGGGGAGAATTGCTTGATGGAGAAAACAGAGAAAGCATTGAGTATGTGAAGCAGGCTCAAAGGGACTATCAAGAAATTAAGAAGTCTATCCAAGACTGGCATAACAGCTTGAAAGAAACTAAGGACAGACTATCTGATCTGGAGGGCAGACTTGTAATATGGGAGAATGAAATGAAAAACTTCTTAAAAATAACAAAGAAACAAACAGCAATAATACAAAGACAAGAAGATGATAAGAGGAGCCATAACTTAAGGATTAAGAACATAAAAGAAGAAGTAGGGACACAAACAAATGAACTACAAAAGCTACTCACAGAAATAATCCAGGAGAATTTTCCTAATTTAGCAAAAGGTAAAGATACTCAGATGTATGAGGCATATAGGACCCCAGCTACCTACAACCCAAACAGAGCAACACCCAGGCATATAATAATAAAAATTCCAGAAATTCAATACAAGAACAGAATATTAAAAGCTGTCAGAGACAAGAAACAGACCACTTACAAGGGAACACCCATCAGAATTACAGCATATTTCTCGGCACAAACCATCAAATCATGAAGAGCGTGGGGGGAAATAATTCAAGCTTTGAAAGATAATAATCTCCAGCCAAGATTGAGATATCCTGCACAACTGTCCCTGGAAATTGATGGGAAAACGAGGTGCTTCCAGGATAAAGAGGAACTGGGGGAATCTGCAACCACTAATTCAACCCTACAGAAAGTATTGCAGGATATTCTAAAAAAAGAAAAATACAAAGAACCCAGAAATAGTGGCGGGGAGGCCACAACGAATGGAGCAGAGAACAAAATGAAGAAGACAAACTGACAGCTACTGACAGAAAAAGAGCTCAACAGAAATGAGGCAGAGAAGATTGGATGATAGGAACAGCTATTTTGGAGAAAATGACATCTTAATAGGTAATACTGATTTAGTACCATCTTGTTTTGAAGTCTCATCTAGCTTTTGTTCTTCTGTCTCCAATGGTCTAAACAGGTTGTATCTTACTGGATTTTATTATGTACGATAGTATAAGCAAAAACCTTTTAAAGACAAGGAGATTATACAGAAACCATTGTTCATTTTCTGTTAGTCGATTCTAAATACTCTATAATGCTGTCATTCTCTAAATGGTTTTACATTGTTTCGATATACTTAATGCTACAGTATACGAAGTTGTACTCAAGGACTTCAAGGAAAGAGTCAATATGGTAACTACTTTTGGGTCGGAATTATCTGGTGGTGAAACACTATTCTGCTTAAATGGTTATGTTTTGATCTGCCCTGTTTCGCTGTTATGCCCTCTTTTTTCTCAATCTCCACTCCATTATTTACTTTTTTATTTTTATCCGTTTAATTAAAGGGAAAAATAGCAGGATATAATATAGTAATCCACTTTGACTTTCTATTATCTCAATTTGAAGCCCTGTATTACTCTCACCATCTTGTTTTTGAGTGATGTTCCCCTATTCTGTTTTGCTGGATAGTATCAGGTTCGAAAGTTTAGGCATCAGCTGAGAAGATAATGAGATTCATTATAACGCCCATTCTCGTTGACTTTTATCTACTTTTGAAGACCTACAATGTCTCCAATGTTTTGGTTTTGTTGGTTTTGTTCTTTACTGTTTTGTTCAATTGTATTACAACTAATGATATAGGCAATTCTATTAGAGATAGCGGGAGGCATTATGGTAACCATTGTTGATCACCTTGTATTATGTTTTTATATTATCTATTATGTCCACCCTTTTGACTTGACCGATTCTGTTCTGTTATGTCACATTTGGTTTTACTCTCTTCCAAAAAAGTAATAAGAACCGTGGGAGCAATGAAACCCAAAATGTGTAATAGTCATTGTACAAAAGAGAGGAAAAGAAAGTGCTCTAAACGACATAACTGCATGTATATTTAAGTGTATAAGATAGAAAATGATATCACAGAGTTTTATTGGATCATTGAACAGAACTGTTTGCAGTATCATTGATGGAATGTCCACTTTACAAGCTTTAATTTTGTGACTTGAACAATTATTTCTAAGATGACAATATGTAATCCATTAACTAGTGATTTCCTACTGCACATTTTTTTCTTCTGTAAATCTGTATAACTTGTACCCCTTCACTGTTTTTTTTTCTTTTCTCCTTAAATAAAAAAAATAATAAATCAGACACACAACATTGAATATCCCATGGTTTCTTTTATGTTAGAAACCTAAAATATAAATAAAGAGGGAAATAAGTTAGTAAGGAATGGAGATGTAGATTTTTCCCAAAAGTTAAGAGGACCAAGAGATGGACAGAAGGAGGGAGGAGATTGCTAAGAACAACAAAAAAAAATACTTAAAAATTCTATCACATAATTGCAGCCATATAACTTAAGTGTAGGCAGCTGTGGATTATCAATGTCCAAATAAGTTGAGAGTTTCTTGGTGCCTAATCAAAATTACTTTTAGTCTTCTTTCTTAGCCATTGATAACATTGTATTTGGGGATTCCACACAGGAAATCAATGAATCTAAGAAAAATATCTGTTTGTGTTCCTTGGTTTGAGTAAGTACCTTCTTTGGTTTTTGGTATCAACTTTCATTTTTTTCTAAGGAACAAAGGGAAGCCCCTCCCTTGAGAAGCACGTATTTTCAGTTATTTGAAACAATCATTTGCTGGCAGACAGAGTGAACTTCAGCTTGTTTTCTATCTGTTGAAAGGTACCAGAAGCCAAACATTGTCACTTAAATTACCTTTATATTTTTGTCATTGGCCAGGTGACTTAGTGTTCATTATGACCTTAGAAAGGAAAATACATGTCAGATCTGAATTGACAACGAATCTTAACGATCTTAAATGATCTTAAAAATGCTTTTCATCATTCTCTCTGACACCCAGAGGGGGAAAAAAATCCTCTTATTGACCACAAATCAGCTTTCATAGAAGAAGAGATTTGGTCAGAATAAAGGACAGAGACTTATGTTTACTCCTGCACATCTCTGCTCCTCTACTTTGCACACTCCTGCAGTGGTTCGTATGCCACCAAGTCCATTGTTACCCAAGGTCATTTTTGAGCCTTATATGTTTGATTTTTCTTCATTGCTGGAAGTGGAGGACTGTTCAGGGATCACGGGACCTCTTTGTTCATATTTCTGTTAAACCCTAGTGATAATATGGATCTATGGTTTGGATACCAGTGAGGACAGCCCAAGCCTATGGTTTGGATACCAGTGAGGACAGCCCAAGCGGGATACCTGCAGGTAGATGTGAACAGCAAGCGCTGTGGACAATGAACATTTCCTGAGCAATATACCTTAGGCAGTGTCTCTGTGCTCTGTATGAATATTTCTTTAAATTTGACTCCCAATTGTTGTTTGCTAAATTTATTGTTTTGATCCATTTTGAAAATATCCTTTAATGAGTATCTCCTTCAAACATTAAATATTGCCCACTAAAACATTTTCGCAGGGACCTGTAAAACAGCGCAGTGATAGAGGATGCTGTCCTATGACTAACATCAATAACCACCATTATTTCTAGGAAGGAGGACAAACCTGAGATATCTGAGAAGTGCTTGTTGTTCTTGAGGCTCAGGAGTTGTGAGAGCTTCAAATGTACCTACAGCAAAGCTCTGCACTCCTGCTTTTCTTCCACAGAAGTAGATGCTGCCATCTGTTTTGATATCTAGTCAGTGATGTGTAGTAAAACAATCTGGAAAATAGGGTAGAGTGTGATAGGGATGTAAAGCAAAATGACAAAGGTACAATAGGTATATATGCCAATTACTCAAGAGGAATCCAATTACTATATATTTGCAAAACATCATTAAAAATACAAAATAAACAAGAGGAAGTCATGAAGAAAAATTTTAAGTCAAAAATGTAAGCAGGCCAAAAAAACCACAAGTCTTTTTTGGGGGGTCAGAACGAAAGGGCATCCTAGCACTGTTATGCTGTAATGCCTGCTAATTTCTGGCCCTTTACAGTAGTGTTTCATGTTTTCTGCTCTGTCCTCAGCACTTGCAGTCAATTGTCACATTTATTCTAACAAAACAAAGAAACTGAACCTCAGTTCTAGTTCTTTATTTTGTTTCAATGATTAACAGAGAAACAAAAAATCAAAACGTTACCTGTGGGATCTATGCTAAACTGATACAGATTCACCTTAACCATCAAGGAATGTAGGGACTGAGACCCCTGCAGAGTTCCTGAAGGATTTTGAAAAGCAACATTGGAGGTAGAACAAAATTTAAGAGATGTGAACCACATTGGCAGACACACCAATTAAGACGACAACCTGTGTGCCCTTAGTGCTGGTTCCCCAAAATCCATGAGAGAAAAAAATGGACTTATGGGCATGATGCCAAGGAACTCTGACACGTTAGCTTACCATGGCAGCGTGCATCAGCAAGTCCCTTCAAAGATTAACACAGTGTTCAAGGAGTGGTTTCCTGAGTCAAATGAATGTAACCATGAGCTTCCGGGAAAGTTCTCCTTTTTGCATTATGAATAGAATCCTTGGTGGGTTGCTTGCTGCTTGCTGCTTGTTACTTCTGCCAGCGATGAACAACTTCTCCTCTATAAGACCCGTCTGCAAGTCAACCTTCTGTGGAGCCAGCCAACCATGAAGCGAAGCTTCTACAAATTGTGAGCTACAATAAACATTTCCTCCTTTAATCTGGGGGTGTTGGGTATCTTGCCTCAACAAGAAGAAAATTAACTAAGACAGATGCTGTCTTAGTTACTTTATGCTCGTCGCTGAGACAAAATACCTGATGCCCAAGTTGGGAAAGGAAAGGTTTATTTCTTACAGTTTTTGGAGGTTTCAGTCCACACTCAGTTGGCTCCAAGACAGGCAGGCATGGCTGGGCTGCAGTTCATGGCGGCCACCCACAGCAAACTCAAACCAGCAAAGAGAAAAAACACACCTTCTTCCTGCCATTACATTACATCCAGGCTCCACCCCTATATGGGCGGAGCACTGACACCATCAATCCAAGCACTGTACAATGAACCATCACAAATGAACAATGCAAACTCATGAGGCCTGGGGGACACAAACATAAACCATGACATTCCACCCCTGGCCCCCAGGACTCATGTACATCCTTTATACAAAAGACATTTAGTCCACCTCCAAGAGTTGCCAAAGTCCTAACAGCTTCAACACTGCTGAAAAGTCCAAGTCCCAAGTCTCCTCCAAGATCTGTGGCAAACTCTTAACTCTAAGCCCCTGTACAAAAGAAACAAGGTTAAACATTTCTGAAATGCAAAGGCACAAGATAAATATTACCATTCCAAAAGTTACAAACAGAGGAATATAAAGCATTGGAATCAAAGCAAGTCCAACATCCAGCAGGACAAACATTAAGTCCTAGAGTTCCAAGCTCAGCATCTGAAGCAATCTGGTTGCAAGTTCCAAAAGCCTTGGGTGATTCCATCCCCAGGGCACTTCTGGTGATTTCAACTCCCGCAGCTTTTCTCTTAAATCTTCTCTGCTCGCTTTTTGCAGCTTCCCTTGGATCATCCACATTCCTGGCTTTTCCAAACTTCTGGGGTCTCCACTGCACCTTTGGCTTCACCTTTACATCTGCACAAATTGCCCCCTCAGGGGCACACTGCTTGGCCTCCCAGGCCCTTTGCAATCGAGGAGGAAGCCGTCTTACCCTCAGAATTCATGCATTTTCCTTGCACCTAAAATTAGCACCTTGTGGATGCCATCAAGGTTTGCTGTTAGCTGAAGCAGTAGCCAGGCTTTTCTCTCTCTTGGCTGTACGGGTCAGTTGCCTGGATCACAGGGCTCTGTCTACCTGATTGTGATGAAAAGCTTCTCTGTGTTGCCACCATTCTGGAACCTCACGTGGCCTCTGTCGCCATTCTGGAAACTCACGTGGCCTCTGTCGCCATTCTGGAAACTCACGTGGCCTCTGTCGCCATTCTGGAGCATGGCACTCTTCATCTTTGCTATGAGGCCACACAGAGTGGGGACTTGCTTCCTGGGATGCCCCGGGGCCATCTTTCTTATCTCTCTGTTTCTCCTCAGGAATCAAAATCTCAACTCTGTCTTTACAATCCACACCCTTCCTGGAATCTTCCTTCGGGCCAAACTCACAGTATTGGAAATTATCCTGCTGGGCTCTTTGCTCCTGATTTGAAACATAAAGCTGGCTAAAAGCCCCCAACAATAGCCATGCCACAGCCTCAATGTTCGATTGCTTTTTAATTTCTTTTTCAATATTAATCAGTCCATTGCCCTTTGTGTCAGTCTCAGGCAAAGTCTCTGGGCAGGAGCAAAATGCAGACAAACTTTCTGCCAAGCCATAACACACATCATGTGGAGTCTAACAACCAATGCAGTCCTTTCCAGCAGAAACCTCCCAAGCCTGGTCTTTACCATCAGGCTTTCTATCAGCTTTCTGGTCTCTTGAGCTCTGACCAGAATCTCCTCTACAGAACAGCCTAAGCTGCTCCAGCTCTATGCATCCAGGCAACATGTCCAAACCTTTCCAAACTCTGCCCATAAGCCATTTCCAAAGCCTCTTGAAAAACATGGCCAGGTATAGTCACAGCAAAGGACCCCACTCCTGGTACCAAATTTCTGTCTTAGTTACTTTATGCTCATCGCTGAGATAAAATACCTGATGCCCAAGTTGGGAAAGGAAAGGTTTATTTCTTGCAGTTTTTGGAGGTTTCAGTCCACACTCAGTTGGCTCCAAGACAGGCAGGCATGGCTGGGCTGCAGTTCATGGCGGCCGCCCACAGCAAACTCAAACCAGCAAAGAGAAAAAACACACCTTCTTCCTGCCATTACATCACATCCAGGCTCCACCCCTATATGGGCGGAGCACTGACACCATCAATCCAAGCACTGTACAATGAACCATCACAAATGAACAATGCAAACTCATGAGGCTTGGGGGACACAAACATAAACCATGACAGATGCATTCATGGTTAGACACATAAACCATTCAGTATCATTATCTGTAATATCTTTATTTTTTTTAATTTTTAGTTTTTAATTTTATTTAAGGAGAAAAGAAAAAAAAGCAGAGAAAGGGTACAAGTTATACAGATTTACAGAAAAAAAAATGAACAGTAGGAAATCACTAGTTAATGGATTACATATTGTCATCTTAGAAATAATTGTTCAAGTCACAAAATTAAAGCTTGTAAAGTGGACATTCCAACAATGATACTGCAAACAGTTCTGTTCAATGATCCAATAAAACTCTGTGATATCCTTTTCTATCTTATACACTTAAATATACATGCAGTTATATAGTTTAGAGCACTTTCTTTTCCTCTCTTTTGTACAATGACTATTACACATTTTGGGTTTCATTGCTCCCACGGTTCTTATTACTTTTTTGGACACTTTCTTTTCCTCTCTTTTGTACAATGACTATTACACATTTTGGGTTTCATTGCTCCCACGGTTCTTATTACTTTTTTGGAAGAGAGTAAAACCAAATGTGACATAACAGAACAGAATCGGTCAAGTCAAAAGGGTGGACATAATAGATAATGTAAAAACATAATACAAGGTGATCAACAATGGTTACCATAATGCCTCCCGCTATCTCTAATAGAATTGCCTATATCGTTAGTTATAATACAATTGAACAAAACAGTAAAGAACAAAACTGACAAAACCAAAACATTGGAGACATTGTAGGTCTTCAAAAGTAGATAAAAGTCAACGAGAATGGGCTTTATAATGAATCTCATTATCTTCACAGATGATGCCTAAACTTTCGAACCTGATACTATCCAGCAAATAGGGGAACATCAGTCAAAAACAAGATGGTGAGAGTAATACAGGGCTTCAAATCGAGATAATGGAAAGTCAAAGTGGGTTACTATAATATATCCTGCTATTTTTTTCCTTTAATTAAACGGATAAAAATAAAAAAGTAAATAATGGAGTGGAGATTGAGATAAAAGAGGGCATAACAGTGAAACAGCGCAGATCAAAACATAGCCATTTAAGCAGAATAGTGTTTCACCACCAGATAATCCCGACCCAAAAGTAGTTACCATATTGTCTCTTTCATTGAAATCCTTGAGTACAACTTCGTATACTGTAGCATTAAGTATATCAAAACAATGTAAAACCATTTAAGAGAATGACAGCATTACAGAGTATTTAGAATCGACTAACAGAAAATGAACAATGGTTTCTGTATAATCTCCTTGTCTTTAAAAGGTTTTTGCTTATACTATCGTACATAATAAAATCCAATAAGATACAACCTATTTAGACCATTGGAGACAGAAGAACAAAAGCTAGATGAGACTTCAAAACAAGATGATACTAAATCAGTATTACCTATTAAGATGTCATTTTCTCCAAAATAGCTGTTCCTATCATCCAATCTTCTCTGCCTCATTTCTGTTGAGCTCTTTTTCTGTCAGTAGCTGTCAGTTTGTCTTCTTCATTTTGTTCTCTGCTCCATTCGTTGTGGCCTCCCCGCCACTATTTCTGGATTCTTTGTATTTTTCTTTTTTTAGAATATTCTGCAATACTCTCTGTAGAGTTGAATTGGTGGTTGCAAATTCCCCCAGTTCCTCTTTATCCTGGAAGCACCTTGTTTTTCCATCAATTTCCAGGGACAGTTGTGCAGGATATCTCAATCTTGGCTGGAGATTATTATCTTTCAAAGCTTGAATTATTTCCCCCCACGCTCTTCATGATTTGATGGTTTGTGCAGAGAAATTTGCTGTAACTCTGATGAGTGTTCCCTTGTAAGTGGTCTGTTTCTTGTCTCTGACAGCTTTTAATATTCTGTTCTTGTATTGAATTTCTGGAATTTTTATTATTATATGCCTGGGTGTTGCTCTGTTTGGGTTGTAGGTAGCTGGGGTCCTGTATGCCTCATACATCTGAGTATCTTTACCTTTTGCTAAATTAGGAAAATTCTCCTGGATTATTTCTGTGAGTAGCTTTTGTAGTTCATTTGATTGTGTCCCTATTTCTTCTTTTATGTTCTTAATTCTTAAGTTATGGATCCTCTTATCATCTTCTTGTCTTTGTATTATTGCTGTTTGTTTCTTTGTTATTTTTAAGAAGTTTTTCATTTCATTCTCCCATATTACACATCTGCCCTCCAGTTCAGATAGTCTGTCCTTAGTTTCTTTCAAGCTGTTATGCCAGTTTTTGATAGACTTTTTAGTTTCTTGGTAGTCCCTTTGAACCTGCTTCACGTATTCTATGCTTTCTCTGTTTTCTCCATCAAACAATTCTCCCCTCTTTTTCTGTTCTTCCATTCCACCATCTGTTTTTTCTTGGGTGGTGCTTAGCATTTCTCTAACTATTCTGCATACTTCTAGCTTCAGGTCATTGATAACTTCATTCCTGAACTGGTCTATGAGGCTCTCTAGATGGCGCTTTATGTCTATTGGTGCGGAGTCCGCTATTACCTGTTTCTCAGAATTGGGGGCCAAGGAGCCTTTCTTGTTGCTGCCTCTTCCCATATTCTCTGTTCCTTATATATGCAAGCTTATATAGGAGGCCCCTCCCTGTCAGCCACAGCCTGATCGAATTGCACCGGTTAGGTGTTCCCGCCCACTGTAGCACACCAGGAAGTTCCAGACCAGGCAGCCTATGTGGGGCTGCCCCTCCAGGCCACCATCAGGCTCTGGGATATGGGTTGGGCTAGCCTACTGGGTCCGCCAGCAGTGTCACGTAGGCTAGGCACATTTCTTTCTTTTTTTTTTTTTAATTTTATTTAAGGAGAAAAGAAAAAAAAGCAGAGAAAGGGTACAAGTTATACAGATTTGCAGAAAAATAAATGAACAGTAGGAAATCACTAGTTAATGGATTACATATTGTCATCTTAGAAATAATTGTTCAAGTCACAAAATTAAAGCTTGTAAAGTGGACATTCCATCAATGATACTGCAAACAGTTCTGTTCAATGATCCAATAAAACTCTGTGATATCATTTTCTATCTTATACACTTAAATATACATGCAGTTATATAGTTTGGAGCACTTTCTTTTCCTCTCTTTTGTACAATGACTATTACACATTTTGGGTTTCATTGCTCCCACGGTTCTTATTACTTTTTTGGAAGAGAGTAAAACCAAATGTGACATAACAGAACAGAATCGGTCAAGTCAAAAGGGTGGACATAATAGATAATGTAAAAACATAATA